TTTAGCCTGACCAATTCTTACACACTCTTCAAGAGTAGGTTTGGGTCTCATCCCCTCAGGAAATCATCTCTGAACTATGGGTTGTGATTAGGTTTTGTTTTCACTCACCTATGTATTTCTTTTTTTTTGGTTTGTCTGTGTTTTTTTGTTGTTTGTTTTTTTGCGGTACACGGGCCTCTCACCGTTGTGGCCTCTCCCGTCGCGGAGCACAGGCTCCGGACGCGCAGGCTCAGCAGCTATGGCTCACAGGCCCAGCCGCTCTGCGGCATGTGGGATACTCCCAGACCGGGGCACGAACCCGTGTCCCCTGCATCGGCAGGCGGACTCTCAGCCACTGTGCCACCAGGGAAGCCCTCACCTATGTATTTCTTGATATTAGTTCTGATATTATATTAAAATTACTTCCTATGTTGCCTGTTCTCCCATGAGTCTATAACTCCTCAAGTGCAAAGACTACCTTTTCTTCCAAAGCTGAGAAGAGTGTGTACATCTGGCATGAATGAGATGTTCAGCAAATATTTGAGGAACTGAAATGACTAATTCCAAGTGGAATTTCTTTTTCTAGGAAGAGCAAGACAGTGAGATGAAATGTGAACCCTTCAAGGCTTAGTGGGGTGACAGCACTTCAAGTGGCCAAGCATGATCCTCTTCCCACCAGCTAGGGGTGAAGCAGAGAGCTTCCAGGTTACGGGTTCAATGTTGGGGCTAAGTCTGTGTTTGTCTGAGCACAGACTGCAATTCTAGTTTAACTGCAGTCTGGTTTATTCAGTCTCAAGGGAGAAGAGAATCAGATAATTTTCCATTCAGTACCCTACAGATTGGAGGAACAGATTTTAACCAGTACAGACTATAAGAATATAGAATATGCAGGGGGTAGAAACATTTATTTACTCTGTCCTTGTAAATTTTGAAAATCCCCACAAGGACACACTCATGATGTCATGAAAGAGGTTGGGGTGGCTGGCAGTGATTCTCAGGGAGATATAAGCATACTATGCTTCAATGCCACAATTTCCCCTCTTGGAATAATAGATCTTTTAGCGGGAGCAGGGGACACTTATTTCCATTTCAGTAGTCTTAAATGTGAGTTGTATTATAGATAATAAAAAGCCCCAATTAATAATGAATCCTAGACAATCCATTAACCATATTCTCTAACAGCATCATATCTGTGCACTTATTCATAACAGGCTCCTGTTTCTTTTAACTGCCTTTCATTCCACTAGTTTTCTGAATTAATGAGCAAGAACGTATGGTTACGTAGAGACCTCAGACAGACCTAAAATGCTCTATCTGATGTGATCTTTAAACAAATGGTTTAAAACAAATGGTTTAGAAGAATTTCAGATGCGATTTCCACTTTCATGTCTGACAGCTTATTGATAACAATTTTTCTAATTCCTTTCCACTGGTTGGAAAAATTAAGATTCCCAACTTCTGTCTTCTGCATTTCCATCCACTGAACAGCAGTCAGAAGCTTGATTTGTTTTGTTTGTTTTTTGTCTTTTAAAATTTATTTATTTTATTTTTGGCTGCGTTGGGTCTTCATTGCTGCATGCAGGCTTTCTCTAGTTGTGGAGAGCAGGGGCTACTCTTCGTTGCCGTGCGCAGGCTTCTCATTGCAGTGGTTTCTCATATTGTGGAGCATGGGCCCCAGGCACGTGGGCTTCAGTAGATGTGGCGTGCAGGCTCCATAGTTGTGGCTCGTGGGCTCTAGAGCACAGACTCAGTAGTTGTGGCGCATGGGCTTAGTTGCTCCGTGGCATGTGGGATCTTCCCAGACCAGGGCTCGAACCCGGGTCCTCTGCATTGGCAGGTGGATTCTTAACCACTGTGCCACCAGGAAAGCCCTTGATTTGTTTTTAAAATATAGAATAACAGCAGCTCTCAACATGGTTTCACAAGAATCTGTATTTGTGAAAGTTCCACTTGTGATTCTGATCCACGGCTAGTGTTGATGTCATTGGTTTCTTAGTTCGTTTGGTTTGCTATAACAAATATACAACAGACTGGGTGTCTTAAATAGAAGAAATTTATTTCTCACTGTTCTGGAGGCTAGGAAAGATAAAGGCACTAGCAGATCTGGTGTCTGGAGAGAACCCTTTTCTTGGTTGGCAGATGGCTGTCTGTCTTCTTGTATCCTCACATGGTGGGGAGCAGAGAGAGAAGCTAGCTTTCTTCTTAAAAGGACACTAATCCCATCATGAGGGCACCACCTGCATAACCTAATCACCTCCTGAAGGCCCTATCTCCAAATATCTTCACATTAGAGAGCAGGGTTCCTACAAATGAATTTTGGGAAGACATAAATGTTCAGTCCACAGTAATCGGGTTGGAAAATTCTATTTGTTAAATATGGTTTTTTTTTTCCTTCTCTGGAATGAGTGCAGGGCAGTGCTTCAGCAATTATTTACTCTCTTCCTATAGATGAAGTATGAGCAGTGGTAATACAGCAAATAGAATGCAGTTATCTAGGTACCTAGTGAGGTTTCACATATGCTGCTGTGACATCTTATTAAATTAGAGAGTAAATAATCATTACTTTCATAATCATTCAAAAAGTAATACTTCTATATACTTTCTACAACTCCCAACTAAAATTGACTATTTTAATGCTCTTGGCCAATAAATCCTTTCTAATATAATTACTAAAATTTAGATTAATCAGAACTAAACTAGTATGAAAAGAAAATTCCATCTTCTGTGTAGTGCCTCAAGAAGTTAGAAATAACATTTTAGACACACTATAATTTTAATAGCTTCCTATGAGCTAAGTAAGTAGAAACAATTATTTTGTTGCTACTAGAAGTTCTAAGGACAATAAGTTAATGTGTTCAAAATTGCAGTTAGATGCTGGCAGGTAACAAGCTAATTATCTAGTAATTTATAAGTCAAGCCTAATAATTTATACCACAACTCATATACACCTGTATATGCAACAAATAAGAAATAGCCTCCTCCTCAATTCTTCCTCTTAAAAACCAGCTGATTGGGCTTCCCTGGTGGCGCAGTGCTTGAGAATCTGCCTGCTAATGCAGGGGACACGGGTTCGAGCACTGGTCTGGGAAGATCCCACATGCCGCGGAGCAAGTAGGCCCGTGAGCCACAACTACTGAGCCTGTGCGTCTGGAGCCTGTGCTTCGCAACAAGAGAGGCCGCGATAGTGAGAGGCCCGCGCACCGCGATGAAGAGTGGCCCCCGCTGGCCACAACTAGAGAAAGCCCTCGCACAGAAATGAAGATCCAACACAGCCAAAAATTAATTAATTAATTAATTAAAAAAAAAAAAAACCAGCTGATATTTACTAGTTGAGAAGTTAGTAACTCCATGGTTCTGATATTAAATATTGCAGCACATTTCTTCATAGGTTAGTGGATGGACATAATTAAGGCTAAATGTACTTATGAAAATAAGTGAACCAAGGAGAAACTATGAAGCAGGAAACTTATTACTGATCTCACTAGGTTTGTCTGCTTTTTTGAAAATCTACCCAGTACAAGAATTTGTAAAGCAGTAATTGTTACATTCCTTTACCATACAGACCTCAATGTAAAAATAAACAAAAAACCCCAAACAATACTAGAACATCACCATTGTATTATACCTAGTCATCACCAGTACTTGGAAGTCTAATTATTAGAATTGCTAGATTGGAGATGAGTTGCTTTTGTTAAAAAGAACATTTTATTTTTTAAATCACAAGTTATTGATTTATGTTAGAAACAGAAGAGAAGATAATCTATCATTTATGAAGAACATAGCTACTTTTAAGACACTTGCCTGCAATTAGAATGGGAGGACTCATGTCTTTAAAATCCAAACTGTCCATAGAGTGGTACTCTTTGAGTGGATTATATAGGAGCTCAGGTAAATAAGTAAAACTGTTGGCTGGGGGAGGCTGGGGAAGAATAACTCTTGGTTTTAGCCTCAGGTATCTATCTAAAGGCCAGCGGACTTTTCTAACATGCATTCATTAGTTAAAGCAGTATTTACTAAGCATTTCCTGTGTGAATGTACTGCCTCTATGTAAATTACAATTGAAAGCTGCTGTTGAGACCCTGCCTATATAGTATAAGAGGGACCGGGAGGATGGTGGGTTCATAACTGCAGATGGATTGCTGGGAACATTCAAGGCCTCCAAATTGCCTTCAGTCTTCCTATTTCATCTGTGGTCCTGTTACATCTGATTACTTCTTCCTGCTGCCAACTTGTTAGTGACATAGTTATCTACAGGAATTCCTTCCTTTGTTTATGGGACTTAATAGTGCTGGGCCTCCCATGAGCAAAGTGGTAAGTAAGGTAGCATGTGGTGAGGAGCTTCGTTTACCTGGGAAAGTTCCACTTCTGTACTCTGGTGGGCGTTATTGGTTATAAAACAATCATTCTTATAATTTGACTAGGTTTATTTAGTCTAGGACCGTGGGGCAATGTCATTTTGCTTACTCTGGGGAACAACTGTTCACTATGATGGGTATCCTTGCCCTTGGGCACTAGAGGGAATAACATGTCTGGGATGTTACAGTCTTCTCCTTATTTTCCCCACAAGAATCATCATTTCAATATTCAATAGAGAAAAATGATCTTTTGAAGGGGTAGGAGATTACTAACTTTTGTAAAAACCATGAAGGCCCTCATGACTTCTGAGGAAGTGGAAAGAGTGGGAAGTCATGGACACAGAGTCACCCTGAGGAACGTTTGTGACAGAGTGGTGAGGATGGTTTTCACTTGCATTAGACATCCCCTTACAACTTCCATTTTAGTTATTTAAAAACGTCAGAATGCTTTAAATTGGATGGAATCTCAAGTTAAGTTCCTTTTGGGGAAAGATGTTGCCAGCCTGATATGGGATACTGGACAGGCAGCTTAGGTGGAGAATCTGTATCACTTATTTTTTTCCCATTAAAAACCTACATTCTTGCTATTTATATGGGTTTTCTTCTCCCTTTCTCCATCCCCTTTGTATCTGGTATTTCTCCCCTCGACTCTTCCTTCTTTCCCAGGTGTGTTTGATAACTGCTCCCACACTATCAGTGACAAGGGCTGGGCCCTGGGGATCCGCTCAGGGAAGGATGTGGGAAGGCGAGATGCTCGCTTCTTCTTCTCTCTTCGCACTGACCGCGTGAAGAAAGCCACCATTATGATGGGTCACGGTCGCTATCAACCAGGCAAGTGGACGCACGTGGCAGCCACTTACGATGGACAGCGCATGGCCCTGTATGTCGATGGCACTCAGGTGGCTAGTAGTCCAGATCAGTCCGGTCCCCTGAACAGTCCCTTCATGGCATCTTGTCGCTCTTTGTTCCTGGGTGGGGATAGCTCCGAGGACGGGCACCATTTCCGTGGACACCTGGGCACACTGGTCTTCTGGTCGACGGCCCTCCCACAAAGCCACCTCCAGCACAGTCCTCAGCAGCCAAGCGAGGTGGAGGATTTGACCACCCTGCTACTGACAGCCAGTTTTGAGCCCCTGGAAGAACAGTGGGCCCCCTTTAGAGATGGGAAGTACCCACGGCTTGAGGTTCTCCAGGGCTTTGAGCCGGAGCCTGAGATCCTGTCACCTTTGCAGCCCCCGCTCTGTGGGCAAACAGCTTGTGACAACGTGGAACTGATTTCCCAGTACAGCTGGCACTGGCCCCTTCGGGGAGAGAAGGTGATCCGCTACCAGGTAGTAAACATCTGCGACGACGAGGGCCTGAACCCCACCGTAAGTGAGGAGCAGATCAGTCGGCAGCATGAAGTGCTCAATGAAGCCTTTAGCCGCTACAACATCAGCTGGCAGCTGAACATCCACCAGGTCCACAACTCCACCCTGCGCCACCGTGTTGTGCTCGTGAACTGTGAGCCCAGCAAGATTGGCAATGACCACTGTGACCCCGAGTGTGAGCACCCACTCACAGGCTACGACGGGGGCGACTGCCGCCTGCAGGGCCGGTGCTACTCCTGGAATCGCAGGGATGGGATCTGCCACGTGGAGTGCAACAATATGCTGAACGACTTTGATGATGGTGACTGCTGTGACCCGGAGGGGGCTGACGTGCACAAGACCTGCTTCGACCCTGACTCACCTAGGAGGTAAGGGACGGGGGCTTGGGGTATCTGGCTTGTAGGGTACATTCCTAACATCGTTTTATCCTTTTGGCTTCTGGAGACAAAAGAGTGTTCACACAGCCCCCAAATAAAACATTCATCTACTCCACCAGATATTATCGAACTTTCATGAAGTACCAGGTGTTGTGTTGGGTGATTAGGAACACAGAGATGATTAAGACGAGACACAGCCCTCACAGCTCACTTTCTATGGAGCAGACAGCTGTGTACGTGGTGTGAAAGGCACACGCACCAGGTGCTTAAGACACAGGAAAGCTGAACAACTTGGTCTATCAGAGGAAGCCAGGGCATCTTCACAGACAGCAAACAAGGTATATGTCGATAGAAACCAATCAGCACCAGTTATACATGAGCATTCCTTTTATAGTCTTAGGTTTCCAGCAAAGTAACAGGAATTCATGAAGAGGCCCATGTGTGAAGCAGTTCGAGCAGTTCAGCAGCTTTATGAACATAAGACATTCTACATCTAACCACAAGTCTCCTTTAGATGACTGGAGGCTTCCTCTTTTGCCCCATTAAATTCCATTCTCCACACGGCATCTGGAAAGATCCTATGTAAAAGGTAAATTAGATCCTGTCACTCCCCTTCTTAGTTTTTTTCCCACTGTTCTTAGAATAAAATCCAAACTCCCCTCCTGTCTCCCGCATCACAACCTGACCCCTGCCTTCCTCTCTAGCTTCCTCCCCTGCTCTCCCCACCCACACTGCACAGCCTCACTGTGACTGTTCTGTTCCACTGAACAGATCAAACTTGTTCCTGCCCCAGGGCTTTGCACTATCTGTTTCATCTTCTTGGAATCCTCTTTTCCTTGGTCTTCCCTTGGTGAGTTTTCTCTTGTCATTCCAAAATCTACTTAAATGTAACCTCCTGGAGAGGCCTTTCCTGATCTCCCAAGTTGACTAGTCAATCGCTATTATGTCAACTAATTTAAATTCTCTCTATAACACATCACTTCTGATGTTTTTCTTGGGTATTTGTTTATTTGTCTTTTCCTGGCTTGGAATATCAGCTCTATGTGACCAGAACACTTGTTACATTCCCAGTGCCTAGAACAGCGGCTGAGACGTAGTTGCTTATTTCATGTTTATTTTAATGAATAAATGGATCTGATGTGTCATCTGCTGTGAGACAGAAGCCAATAGGAGGATTTCCATTTGATGGTTGATGCAGGAGTTGGGGAATGTTAGAGGGAGGTAAGAAAGGAGAGAGGTGGGTGGTAAACTTAGTAATTTGTGTATGTGGGAAAGGGTTCCCCATTTATAACTGGTACCTTTGTACGAATTATAAAAAGGCCCACACCTGAGGTAGGGTGTAGTGTTGGTGGGAGGTGGGAGGACTAGATCTCAGCTTCCACCCAATACCTGAATGGCTGCCTTTGTGGGTTTTGGCCATGATTTGTGTGGTAATTCATGGTCTTGTGTGTGGTCAGTCCTCTTGGTGCCCCTGTGCATGGGCAGTTAGCACCAATGAATAGGTTCACCTGTAGCTCAGATGTCTGACATCAAGGATCGAGTGTAAGATTTGCAATCAGGGGACAGAGTTGAGTTCCAGAGTCCTTGCTACTTAACCAGCTGTGTAAGTTGCGCAAGTCACTTTTGTAAACCCAGATGTCTTGTCTGTAAAATGAGGGTGATTGCAGTAATACTTTGCGTTACCTATATCTTTGGGTTATTTTTGTGAAACAAATGAAATAAGGTACAGGAAAGTGCTTGGTAACTCTAAAGTTTTCAAAGTACAGAAACAGTTCTAAACTAACGTTAGTTATTATCATTATTAGAACTGACAGATGGGAAGCCTTTGTTTACATAATAATACCCAGGGAACTGATCACATTACCAGAAATATTTGCATAAGAAAGATTCTGTTTGGGTTTGGTTTTTAGATTTTGATAACCTTAAGCAGAAGCTAAACCTCACTAACAACGTTTGCCAACTCTTAGGATCTCCAGAGAACTCTCCAGGGAAATCTGGCTTGTTCTCATTTGTCTACTAGCTCATTACAACAGCCCACTGCCTTGACTGAGTGAGCTGTCTTTCAAGGTACCCAGGCATCACTCTCCTTAGAGTGGCCCCTTGTGTCTCTAAATACTTACTGCCACTGCCCTCATCTGGGTGTTTATAACTTATTCCCCTTACCACTTCAGAGTTGCCATGGTAACTTATCCTTTTCTATCTGTAGACCCAGACACGTTTCAAACTTTCTTACCCCTACATGCAAAACTCACTTTGTGGAATAAAAGGAACTAGTCATACTTTTTTGATAGTTAAAAACATTTAAATAAAAAATAAATGCTCCTGGTTAAAATATCAAATTGTACCAAAAGGCAGTTTTACCAAATTGTACCAAAAGGAAGAATGACAATCCCCTTCCTAACTCTTCCTCATCCTTCTCCACTCTGTAGCCTTTCTCCCATATTTAATTATTTTACTTGCCTCTTTTGGTAATAACCTCCATGTACATATATCCAGATATTATATTTATATCACTTGATTCATCAATTTTATTTTATTTTTTTAAATTATTATTATTTGGAGGGGGCCATGCCATTTGGCTTGCAGGATCTTAATTCCCTGACCAGGGATCCTCAGCAGTGAAAGTGTGGAGTCCTAACCACTGAACCACCAGTGATTAGGACTGATTCATCAATTTTAAACATTATGCATAAGTTGCTCTTATTACAAAGATGAGACTTTTACTTTGTCTCCTCCCCCTCCTCTGCATTTTTCTAATATAGTAATTTTACTATTTTTGGTTGAGTCACATATATATATTTACAACATTATGACTGTAGAATATTTTTCTTTTGGTTGCAGAACAGAGTTTTATTCTTTTACTATATTTCCTTTCTGGCATAGCTCCCCCACTCTCCCATACACATACACCCTCCCCCTTGAGTCTCTATTTCCTCCCTCCCTCCCTCCCTTCTTTTATCTTCCTTCCTTCCTTCTTTTTTGATATCTTCAATCATTTTCAAATGCTTTATCATACTAGCTAATCTATAGAATGTGTCTTTTTTTTTTTTTTTTTTTAACACTCCTCTGGAGCTCTCCCTTCAAGTTTATTCCATTTTTTTCTCTCCTCTTCTGACTTGACCAGTTATCTTTAGTTCTGCTTCACAGTTGTCATCCTGGAATTTCTCTTCACTGCTTTTGTGAGGGGGAATTGGAGTCACTATGTCCTGAATTTTATGAACCTCTCTTAATTTACAACCTCATTTTACTGGAAAACATCCTTAAGTAACTTTCTAAGAAAGGATGTTTTAGGTAACTTTTTCAGAAAAGCATTTCTCAGAATGTTTTTATTTTGCCTTTACCCCAAACTGATAGTTTGTCCTGGTGTAAAATTTTGGGTTGGAAAACATTTTCTCTTAAATTTTTGAAGAGATTCATTAGTTGCCTCTGTGTTTTAGAGGTGAATTTTTTCCTATTAAAAATTGTTTTTGAATTTTAACCTTGTTACTTTAGGGATTTTATGATAATTTCTTTTTAAGTGTTGGCCTTTTATTCTTCTTTTGTTGATATTCAGTGGTCCTTTCAATTTGGACACATGCCCCTTACCTCTGGCAAATTTTCTGAAGTTATTACTTTGATATTTCTTAATTCTCTGATCTCTTTTTCCTCTCTGAAATGCCTGAGGATTTATTTCCTGAACTTATTCCCTGTCTTTTTTCTCACTTATATTCTATCTCTTTGTTATTTTGTTCTATATTTTGGAGATTTCCTTGAGTTTATCTTCCAACTCTTCTATTGAATTTTTTTTTAATTTTAGCAATCATATATTTAAGACTTTACTCTTTGATTTTCTATATTAGTCTATTTTTATTTTAAGGATGCACCCTTTTTTGAGGCTAAAAATAAGATGAATTCTGACTTTTTTTTCCCTGTGTACTATATCTGATTCATCTATAGTCAACTTTTTTCCTCTTAATTCTTATCTGTCTTTCATGCTGGTGGATTTTCTCAGATGTCTAGTGCTTATTCACAATAGGAAACACACTTTCATATCTCTATTCTTATGATTTAAAAAAGGATATTTATCTATGAATTTCCTCTTTTAGAGGGAGAAATCTGAAGGCAGACTGTAGTGGAAAGGATAGGTTTTCTTTTTCCCAATTCCCTTATACTTATTTCATGTACAGACCTTTTATTCATACTCCATCTTCTCTGCCTTGTATTTCTTGTGCTGAATTTTTATTATTAAAAACATTGACTGTTTTTCATAACTCTTATTGGCAAGAACCATATTTTGAAAAAATTATTTATCAAGTTCCTGTGATGTGGCAGACACAGTAAGCTAAACAAAGGGACAAATATAAAGAATACATAGAGTAAGTGTTAATACCTTAGTGGAGGGATTTAGTAATTTTATCTAAATACCTGGGTTGAAATCCAGTCTGAGGCACTAAAAGCAGAACATAGAGTATAGACTGCTTTTCTGTGCCATGGCTTAGACTGTTTGAAAGGACTTTGGATTCATAGAGGTGTGGATCTCTGGATTTCTATGAGGGCCTGTGACTTGGTAGAGTTGGTGGTTGTATCTGAACTAAATTACCCATATCTAGCAGCCCTATTATTACAATTAAATCACAGTGCTCAAGTTCACAATTCCTTTATTTTGTGACTCTAAAGAGACCCAACTCCAACAAATTTTTCCAGACATTTTTTGAGGAGCAGAGCGTGCCAGGCAGAGAGTCCCTCTACTCAGGAGCTCACCATTTAGTAGGGGGTGGTTGGGAAGTGGGGGACACACCTACAGATAGATTACTAACGTGCAAGTACAGTGATTGCTTTATGAACAATCCTTCTTGTTTCTCAAATCCTGCTCAATGTTCCCTCTTCCCCCACCCCCAGCAAGAAACCAGAAATGTAGCCCAAAGGAGTTCCTCTCCCAAAAGCTCTGACAGGAGGAGAGAGCACCAAACATCTGTAACCCAGATGGGCCTATCAAAGGGAGAGTATTTATC